AAAGGACGCAGGGGAAAAAGGAACAGTAGGGAGGGAGCCTCTCACTGCTGGGAGACAGGAGGCAGGCGTGACTGCGCTGGAGAGAGGGACTTTTTCTGTTTTCCTTTAGCTTCCACTATAGGGCGTGTGTACTTGCTGGAGAGAGACAGAAGACTGGGGAAGTGAGAAATCACCCCCAGGAGGATGGCCACACTGCAATCCCTTTTCGGGATTTTGGGCTCACACGCACGTGTACTGTGGTTTTTGTGGGATCCAGTTGCTGGCCAGGTAACTTCTAGTTTTAAGACATATTCTAGGAAGTTCAGGCTTTATTAGACACCCTTGGCTGTCTGGGGAAAGCCAAAGTGGGCCGGGAGAGGTCTAAGGAGCCCAGCAGTCTTGGGAAGGCCGCTGGCTGAGGGGCCTGGGACCAGTCCTGCTGATCCGCCTCCTGGACGGTCACATGGTGAGAATCTGCTTTGAAGACATGAAGGGCTTCCCTGCGGACTCCAAGGCTCGCTGGTAGTCCTGCAATGGGACCTCGGAGCAGGCAGGGGCTGTGAGCTGGCCTCGGCCGATGAGGTCACACAGTGTGAGGATCAGCGCCTGGAACTCGGCTGTGGGAGGGTAGTCAGATGGGCCGGTCAGTGCTGGGACTTGGCAGGGTGTGCGGGCTGCCCCTGGGGGCAGGAGGTGGCACCCAGAGCCCTGGCTCTGCCCAACACAATGGCTGGGCAGGCAGCAGGGTGCCCCACACCAGGATGGAGAGCCAGGGTGTGGATGGAGAAATGTGGGGAGCAGCCCTTGGGCCCATGGCAGGCAGGGGCCACCCTTCAGAGGATGGCTCTGATGGCTCTGGCCCACAGGACCTGACGGGTGTAGCTGGGCAAAGGTGGTGGGAGGGCAGGGAAGCCCGAAGAGGCACAGGGAGGGAGCTGGCGCCTGGCACCTCGCTGATGTGGGGACCCGTGCACTCTGCTTAGAGAAAGGCACTTTGCTGGAGAGCCTGGGATCCCTGGGGCCCCAACCTGAGGCCAATCTCCTGCCAGGAGTCCAGCAGGAAGGTGAGGAGCCCTGGACCTGAGGCCCCTCGGCCTGAGGACACCGAGCTCCTGCCGAGTCTGCTGCAGTGTGGGAAGGTGAGAAGCCCAGGCTCGGTGCAGAGCTGGTTCTGCTTAGACACAGGCTCACCCGACACTCAGTCTGGCCCCCCTTCTGCTTCCACCCACCAC